ACCCTCATCCTCATCACCATCATCAGCATCGCAGTAACCACCACCACCACGGCACCACAATCGTCACCACCACCCCTGCCATCATCATCATCATCATCATCATCATCATCATCATCATCATGGTCACCATCATCATCAACACCATCACCTTCACCCTCACCATTACAATCGCCATCGTGATCGCACTCGCCCGCGTCATCACCATCGCAATCGCCATGGTAATCGCCATCGCCATCGCCACCATCTTCAACGTCATGATCATGACTAGCATCATCACCACCGTCATCATCATAGTCGTCATTACACCTATCAGCATCATCATCATCATCGTCATCATCACCAGCATCAACATCAGCGACAGCATCAGCAATCGCATCATCATCATCATCGTTGCCGTCATCATTGGTAGGATCATCAGCATCATCATACTCATCCTCATCACCATAATCAGTACAATCATCATTATCACCATCACCAGCATCATCATGACGATAAGCATCTGCCTTCACCCTCAATGTGACCAGCCCAACCACCATCATCATCGTTACCACCGTTGTCATCACCATGGCGATCCTGAGGAGGGCGAGGTTGAACCTCCGAAAGCCGCCTACGTCTATGCCACCTCTCGCCATCTGAGTGGGGGAGGGGGAAGAGGAGATGAAGTTCCCGGGAGGGGAGGAGGAGGAGGAGGAGGAGGAGGAGGAGGAGGAGGATTTTTACTGCTACGCTGCTCCCCACGGCGTCCCGCAGTCGGCCTGGCACTGGGAGCCGGGCGGCCGTCGAGCACGGCACTTAAATGGCACAGACGGGTCATACATGCCATGGAACCATATATCAGGGCCACGCCCCCGCGACACGAGACCGAGAGGCTGGGCCAGATACAGGCCTAGGAAGTATTAAAGAGACGAACAACACTGATAGCATCCGCATCAAGCCAGACGTCCGAAAGCTCGGGGTGCTTGCCAGCCGAAATTCTGTCCCAGTAATACTTAGAACACGTAATATTATGAGGCCTACCTGGGCACGGTTTAGCCAGGTAGCGAACGTAATTGCCAGTGGAAAACGCCTTACAACGGACACAGACACAGACTATGCCGCCGTCCGAACACGCTAATCCAAGACAACTGTCCTCCAGATGCTGCAGGACGTCGACCTGGAGCTTATGCTTCTTAGTGCAACTCGAATTACCCCGCGGGAAAACCCCACGGCACACAGTGAGGCAGTGATTGCACTGCCAGAAGCTACCCACCTTCTTCCAAAGATGGGGCACTTTGACTGGCACTGGTTTCGGCTCGACGGGCGCACGAGTGGCTTCCGACAAGTCGAGCGGAGGCCAGAGAGGCAGCACACGGGCCGCCAAAACAAAAACCTTGCGAACGACCGACAGGCATTTATCGAGCCACTCTTGCTGCTCAGGGCTCGGCTTCTCGTGAGCTAGGGCCCCAAGCTTAGCATAGTGGTCGGCGAGGTCGTTCCCCGTCTTACAGAACTCCAGATAGGCATCATTACCCACCTGCTCGTCCGACATGTGGCCTTTCACTTTATGGATGGGCCCCATTTGACTGTCTGCAGTCCAAACAAACATACCCGAGTGCACTCGCTTATGCGACAAGTGTTCACTACGAGGGGGGGCCCACAGAGCTACTACATTCTGGCAATCGCTATACCCCACAGCTGGAGAGACAGCATTCTGGCAAGCAGCAGTGCAGGCAGCAAATTCACCAGCCTGAGCCGTTTGGGGAATGGGGTAGGGGAGGGGGGCATAGACATGACCCAGCCCCTGCCCAGAATCGGACACCGAGACATAACTCCACCCCGTCCTCGATAATTCTCTTATGACAGAGCGAATACAAGAACCATCCATGAAGATATTCCCCGAAACTCTATAATCGTCTTTATCAGGATCGTCAAAATGCTCATAGCTGGGTTCGCACATCGATGGGGGGTGGGAATATATCACCAGGGCGGGTAAACAGCCCCATCGCGTACATTATCTTGTCAACATCCGACAACGAGTCGTACTCCAGCGGCCGAAACTGAAACCTTTCTCCGAGGATGTCCTCTCGGGCCTGGGCGACCGACTCGTGCTGGCAGCACCGCAGCCTGTGGAAAATGGTGTCCCTTGCCACGCCGCGCAGCGGGCACAACGCGTCATGCATGATTTTGCCGTGGCCCTCGGCTCGAGCCTTGGTCCAGGGCGCCTGGCAGACAAGACCTCTAATGCACCCACCCTTTCTCGAATGGAGTGAATTTTGAAGAACTCATGGCCGCAAGGGCCACGTCGAAACAGACTCTGCGGCCCAGGCCCAGGGACCGCCCATAATCACGTTCCATATTCCTCAAAACAGCAGCACGGAGGAGACGCTTCAGGAGGCAAGGCGAAACCAGGGCAAGGGAAACTTCCACCCCCAGGTCGTCGACGAGCATACTGAAGCTCGGCATCTTCCACCCAAGACGCTCCACCGAGAGACGAAGGGCCCCCCACAGGGCCGCGCACGCG